AGAACCACCCCTGTATTGACAAAAATGATAAAAAATTACTTTATAAAAGCTTGGAATGCTTTAACGGTGCAATTATTTAAAATAAAAATTCCCTCATTGTTTATGAAAGAATTTGTATCTCATAACACTTTTCAACCCTTATAAATCACCCCTGTGCTAGAAAAATGATAAAAAATTACGTTTTAAATCTTGGAATGCTATAATTGTGCAATAATTTAAAATAAAAATTCCTTTATATTGTTTATGAAAGAATATTGAACATTTGCCATTTTCAACTCTTATAAACTACCCTTTTACCAATATTAATGTAAAATATTTTTATTATAATCGATTGTTAAATATAATCAATCATAAAAAAATTGCTACACTGCATATAAATAATTTACTTATTTTATTTGTATAATATAATATATAATATATAAAAATGAGAAAGGTTATTTTGTTCCGAAAATATATCATTGTTTTTTTACCATAACTCGGTTAATTTTGAAGCTATAGTATCCTACAAAAATGCATTTTAAACATAATTTCAAGAGCTGTAAGATCGTTTGCACATAAAACCTTTTAAGTCGTTCGTTTTTTAAGAAAGGATCGAAGGGCTCGAGACAGGTCATTTTTTCACTAAAATGGATACTTCAAGTGGCGATATCTTCTTTATTTTTTATGCTATAGGAATAAAAAAAGCAAAATATTTGTTGAAAAAAAAGCTACATTTGTTGTCTATCATTTTTTACGTATCTTTCATAGTTTCAGAGTTGTTATATAAATAAGGCAATTTTTTTTTGAATAATGAAAAATAGATACGTTTTCAACTTTTACAGTACATTATTCTAAAAATACGCATTCTAAACCGGTCTAACTTCAGGATCGTTTGAAAAACAATAAAACAAAACTAATTGTAATGGGTCTACGACTAATTTTAATTCTGATGGAAATGGTACAGCGTTTACTGCTCATTTTTCCTTAAAAAATATGAGCCACCCATCTGTTTTTGATGATAACTCCTTCAATTTTGCTCTAATCAACTTTTAAAGATCATTTTGAAGATCTTTTTGAGTACTACAAAAAACTCCTGGAGCGTTATACACGTAAAATTAATCCTTTTTCCGTTATTTGACGTTGAATACATCGATTCGAGTATTCCCTCTCAAAACAAGTGCCCTTCCACTAACCATATTTCGCTTTGTATAGGACGTAGAACACTTTTAAAAAACGATTTTTTCCACGGTCGGGAGTAGAAATCAGTTTCTATGACATCAAAATTAAAACAGAAGTAGTCGATTATTCCCAAGGGAGTATAATGCTCCCAAGGGAGTTTACATTATGGAGAACGTTTTTCATGCAAAAAAAGATAACATTGAAATTATTTATTGACATTTAAATTAAATGTTACATTTGTACAATTTTCAAAATTAATATTAGAAGGAATATTACTTTCGCTTACATTTACGGTTTGTGTGATTGCGCTAGTAATGGTACCTACTAAAACCTGATTAGCAGTTTGGGTCTTATTTTCAATGGAGTTCTCGACATAACCCTCAGCGACTGTCGTTGATTTCCAACCAGCATGACGCTTTATTGTCGTGATATCCACACCAGCATCTGCCAGTAATGTCGCTGAAGATCTTCGTAAGCAGTGACCAGTATAACATGCAGCATCAGGTAATTTTAAATACGAAGCTACTACACTCGGAATTTTTCCCATGGTATTCTTGCCAACTGGCTGCGAACTACATTTTCCTGCTTTGTAGTACAAAAAAAGGCGCTTATGCTTGACGTGGGGAGGACGAAGGGACAGGTATTTTCGAAACAATTCAAGCATATTTCCCACATCGGTAACCACAAAGGTTCGTGGAATCTTTGTCTTAGTGTTTGGAATTTTTACAATCAAGGAAGAGCCTACATCCTCAATATCATCTACAGTTAAATTGACTAGTTCATCAGTTCGACAAGCTC